CTTCCAGGCTCATGGATTAGAACAAATACTATTAAAATACCTATACTACCCCATGCAATCTACACACCCAATGCAAGCCCTATCAAAATACCAAGAGCATTTTTCACAGAACTAGAACAAACAATCCTAAAATGTGTATGGAACCACAAAAGACACCAAATAGCCAAAACAAAGCTGGAGGCACCACAATTTCGGACTTCACATTTACATTACAAAGATGTGGTGATCAAAACAGTATGGTATCAGCACAAAAATACACACACAGATCAATAGAACAGAATGGAAAACCCACAATTATTTGATCAATTAATTTATGACAAAGGACGCAAAAAATATGCAAGGGGAAAAAGACAGTCTCTTTAACAAATGGTGTTGGGAAAAGTGGACAGCTACGTGCAAAAGAATGCAAATGGACCACTTTCTTATACCATACACAAAAATAAATTCAAAATGTATCAAAGATCTAAATGTGAGAACTGAAACCATAAAAATCCTAGAAGAGAGCATAGGCAGTGATTTCTCTGACATCAGCCATAGCATTTTTTTTCTAGATAGGTCCTCTGAGGCAAGAGAAACAAAGGCAAAAATAAACTATTGGGATGACATCAAAATAAAAAGTTTCTGCACAGCAAAGGAAACAATCAGCAAAACTAAGAAGCAATCTATGGAATGGGAGAAGATATTTGCAAATGACATATCTGGTAAAGGGTTACTATTCAAATTATACAAATCAACACCCAAAAAACAAATAATCCAAATTAAAAATGGGCAAAAGACATGTTTCCAAAGAAGACATCCTGACGGTCAACAGACACATAAAAAGATGCTCATCATCACTTACCATCAGGGAAATGCAAATCAAATTACAATGAGATATCACCTCACACCTGTCAGAATGACTAAAATCAGCAACACAAGAAACAACAGGAGTTGGTGAGGATGTGGAGAAAAAGGAACCCTCTTGCACTGTTGGTGGGAATGCAAACTGGCGCAGCTACTGTGGAAAACAGTATGGAGGTTCCTCAAAAAGTCAAAAATAGAACTACCCCTACCATCCAGCAATCTCACTACTATTTACCCAAAGAATACAAAAACACTAATTCAAAGGGATACATGCACCCCTATGTTTACAGCAGCGTTATTTACAATAACCAAGATCTGCAAGCAGCCCAAGTGTCCGTCACTGATGAATGGATAAAGAAGATGTGGTACATATATGCAATGGGATATTATTCAGCCATAAAAAAGAATGAAATATTGCCCTTTGCAATGACATGGATGGAGCTAGAGAGTATAATGCTAAGTGAAATAAATCAGTCAGAGAAAGACA